CGAGAAGACCAATGAACACAAGGCTCGGGTACAATCTCCTTGTTCTTTCGTACAAGCACAGATAAAATTTTTATTTACTCAACAGACAGATAAATGATTAATTATAACCTATAGGGCTATCAATTGTACGAAGCAACTAGCACGAACAAGCCGAGAAGACCAATGAACACAAAGTTCGGGGTACAATCTCCTTGTTCTTTCGTACAAGCACAAATAGGCTAAAATTAAATCAATAGTCAAAGAAACTGGATTTAAAACTAATCCGGACAGAAATATTCCCAACTTCGGACAACAAGTATCCAAACAAATATTCTTAACCGGAGAGTTTATCCACGAATCAATACAGAAAAAATCAAAACTTAAAACGGATTAAATTTAAACCGAAAAGAGATATTCACAACTTTGGACACCAAGTATCCAAACAAAATACTCTTAACCGGAAAATTAATCCACAAATCAATCAATAGAAAAAACAAAATCCAAACGGATTAAATTTAAACCGGAAGAAATATTCACAACTTTGGACAACGAGTATCCAAACAAAATATTCTTCACCGGAAAATTAATCCACGGACCAACAAACAAGTAATCACAATTCAACTAACAAGCAAAGAGCAATTCAACTTGGAATTAAAAATGAATGAACTACGAATAAAAAATCACACAAAAGGATTAGTAAACGTACCAGGGGCCGGGCACAGCCGGCATCCAAGACCACGTAGGTCAGCAGCGGGCAGCGGGGAGCGGGGGAAAAAATTAATCCGGTGGCACTCCGGTACACCAAGAAGAGTTAAAGCCAATTTACCTGAGCGGGGCCCGAGGTTGGGTTACCCGACTTACCGTAGGCAGCGTGGGCTGCTGTAGAGCTCGGCGTGGATGGCGGCAGCGGACTGGGGCAGCGGCAGACCTTCCTGGCAGGCGGCAGCAGCTTCTGGACCGGACTGGAAGCTTCTGGCAGAACTCTGAACTGGCACCAAGCAACTCCAGGCGACGGCAGCAGCACTCCCTGGACCTCCGGCGACCTCTGGACGGCGGCGACGCGGCGGCAGGCGGCGGCAGGACCTCCGTGGCTCTGATACCACTGTGAGAACTCTGTTCCAGCTCAGGTCTCCAAGTTTTACACCCACAAAGGATGAATAAGCACCACTAAAATCACTAAGGGGAGAAGGGGCGTCAGCCAGCAAGGTATTTCCGGCCAACACTTCCGATGAAGCCCACAAAGGAACAAGGAGGAATGGACTGTGAAATAGGTTTCGGCCAAGAGCCTCCTTCGGTAGAACAGAGGTGAATATATAGGTGAGGCTCAAATCCATAAAGATGGTAATTACCATACAGAGAGATTTCATAGTTCGAACAAGGAAAGAATGCCGAGGAAAGAACCAGAAGAGAAGCCGAAGAGTACATCGCAGAAGTAAATCGGAAATCCGATTTAACTATGGGCCGGGTACAACCAAGGTAGGTTGGGCTTAAGGAAAGAAATAACAAGGGCCAATACCAACACTTTTGAAAGAAAAACTGCTTTTATTAACATCATTAAAATTTAGATCGTTAATCAAACTCCAAAAGACCAACACTGACAACAACTATTCGTAAACTATCATCATTAACCTTACGGCAAGACTTAGAAACGATCACCGGCCTCTGAGAGAAAAATACGAATCGCTAAACAACCAAACGGGTGATGTGTGTTTTCTCGCACTCAAAAAGGATGTAGTAAAGTGGTTGAAAGTACGAGTATCGTCTCCACAGGGACGGACAAAGGGGAATTAAATATTAACTAAATTCATCGATTAAAAAGAAATAAAATAAAATAAAATGCAATTGTGCGAGATTTATTGATGAAATTAAAATTAAACTAATGCGAATGAACAAATTAAATAAAGGTTGGTTTCTTCTTAATTAACGACGAAGGGGACAAGGATTGATTCCGGGGTAACCAGATTTCTGGCAGATCAGGCCTAATTACATGAATTTAATTTAATTGAGCCTAGCTAATCATTACTAAGTTCTTACCGCTCTCGCGGCGTAGAGTACAATAATTTAGGGGACCAGGCTGATCTCTCATGCGACAGGATCCTAAATTATTGCCAAGACGAGCGAGCTTACGGCCCCTTAATCGCTACTAATCTCTTAGCGAACGATTAAGTGTGTGTGAAGGTGTCTTAGAATAAACTAGCTCTCTTAATTTATTCTACAAGCAATTGTAATTCTAGTGGCCATCTATGTTACAAGAGATATCAGTTAAATTATTCAAACACAAATTAAACGACATTCATGCAATTAAACCAACAAAAATCTAGCCATACATCATCATTAACCCCTTCATCAATCCCAAATCCCTAATTAAACTACTCGCAATTCATAATTGAAGAATCAATAGAATTGGGATGAATAGAAATAATTGTCATTAATTAAAAAGATGAAACTTACAAAGAATCTCAGGGTCTTGAACAAGATAGCGGAAAAACACTGTAAAACACGTCCCTAAGCCTCTCTCTAGGTTTCCCCCCAACCCCAAAATGGGGTTAGGGAAGCCTTATTTATAGAAAACAACGTGTTTGGGTCGAAAAAGGACAGATCCGCGGTACGCACGGAGCCTACGCACGGCGTGCGTTGCGTCCGTGCGTCTGACGGACCTGCGCGTAAAATCGGGCAACGCACGGCGTGCGTTCACCTACGCACGCCCGTGCGTTGCTGTCAGTAGCTCCCCTTCATCGAATTCCTTGAATGCACGGCGTGCGTTCACCTACGCACGCCCGTGCGTTGCTGCCAGTAGCTCCCCTTCATCGAATTCCTTGAACGCACGACGTGCGTTCACCTACGCACGCCCGTGCGTTGCTGCCAGTAGCTCCCCTTCGAAAATAATCCTTGGACGCACGGCGTGCGTACCCGAACGCACGGCCGTGCGTTGCTCTTTGCTGTTCCTGGCCGCTACTGCCTCGCACGCACGCCGTGCGTCCCTGTACGCACGGCCATGCGTGGCCTTTCTTCTTCATTTTCTTCGGTTTCTTCCGTTTTAAGCCTCCGTTTGACCCCTTGATCGTTCCAGTAGCTCTTTCTTCATCAAAACATCATCATGAATCTCCCGGTGGCCTCCAGAACTCCGAATTCACTCTCGAATGCTTCTTAACTCGTCCCGATCACTTCTTAAGCGCCGGTGCGAGACTCTAAATTCCTGATTTTGACTCCAAACAACACAAAACTCGAACCAACGCCCGATAAACATAACTTGAGCTAAAATTGAGACTTGTAACACCTTAAAGCTAGGAAAACCATCAAAAGTCGATCCCAACACGCATCAAATGCGTGTCTAAATACGGACTTATCAACGGGCATGACACATCAATCACTGGTCATATAGATCCTTCTAACGACATAATACCCAGCAGAATTGTATATCATTATTGAAGACGTAAACTTAAAGACATCAATAAAAAACAGAGAGATGTAAAAAACATAACACAAATATAAGACCATAAGAAATAAAAAAAACTGAGAAAACCAGACTTCTTTCTGCCTGTTTGCTTCAAACACAGTCTTCTCAGTCCTGACATCTCAATCGTTCTAAGGTGGCGGTTCAGGAAGGGGCCACATTCTAATATGTCTTCGCCTGTGACGATCTTCAGACTGTGGCGTTGATCCACCAACTCCTCAACTGGAGTACCGCAGAAAGCTGTGACTGTCTCTTGGAAATCCTTGAAGACCCAATCCCTTCATGCTCGTATATCGCAGTCTTCCCTGCGTTGATAATCTTCAAAGTACAAGAAGAAGAAAAAAACACGCACTAGGGCGGTGCTCCGTCACTCACACTTTGACGAGAAAAACTAACTCGCACATATGTGAGAGGAATCTTCCAAGGGCACAACTGGACCTTGCGGCGCTAGGTTTCTAAGAGCTCTGTATTCCGTAGCTACTGGATGCGCTCTTTTCAAACCATAAGTTAGAATCTGCTTTCATTCTTTTGTACTTAATGTTCCCAAGATTGTCTCAGTTTTTCTTTCTTATTTGTTTCATTAAGATTGTTTGATACAAAATTAAGTGATGTTCATTTTGCTCTAAATCTTTTTTACTGTAAATTTATTTTCCTAATATCCACACCAACTTTTCTTGGCCCAATTATTCTTTTCTAAAAAATATTGATACTACTATTCCAACTCTCCTATATAGGTTTTTAGTAATTGCCCCCATATAGGACTAAAAGAGGGGAGAAATTCTTAAATAGGACCATGTATCTCTTTTCCCCCAAATATGACTATTTTACTCCTATTCTAAAACATACGTATATTTCATTCCATTATTACCCCCTTTCCCATTTACGCAGATCTCTCCTTTCTGATGCCCTACGCTCAACCCGTTTCCCCTTCCTCCTGCGCACATCTTTCCCTTTCTTCCCTGCGCTGCTCATCGATCGACTTCACCCTAGCCATCGTCGCCGCCGTCGACTTCGCCTTGCACACTAGATTGATCGACTTTTCACGCCACCGCTGCTGTCGATTTCACCATACGCCACTGTCATTAAGGTTCTTCTCCTCCATCATTCTTCTTCTTCTTCCACTTCTTCTTCTTCTTCTTTTTCTTCTTGTCTTCTTCTTGGATTTTCCTTTGGGTTTCTGGATGCGCCGACAAGTGCGACGACAGGATGCGCCAGCTAGGGGCGGCGGCAGGCCGTTTGGATCTGGCAGTGCAGTGATACTTCTAGGGTTTCAATAGTTTTTTTATTTTACATTTTTGGAATTTAAAATTTTAAGAGGGGTACTTTTGTCCAATTGGGCTGAAATTGGTCCTATGAAACTTGTGTTTCGTTTATGGTCCTAAATGTGCAATTAACTTTGCTATTAGTCCTATTTGAGTCATTAACTAATAGGTTTTTTATACAAAAATCATACTTTTATTTCATAATGAAAATTTTGGTAAAGTTTAGCACAATTATTAAGAAAATAGTGAGAAAGTGAAATTGGTGATCGTGTAGCACAAGATGAAAAGATGAGACAAACATAATGTAAAAAGAGCAAGTACATTGTTTGATGCACATTTCACATTTTAAGAATATAAAGTTCCTTTACCATTCTAAACTCATAAATAGTAAGGAAAGGTGAGCAAAATTCAGAAAGGGTGAACAAAATACTGAAATAGCGGTGTACCAAGTGTACTACTACATGTGTACATAGACCAAGTCAACATGAACTACTTGGTAAAAACATAAAATATGAATTAATGCTTATTAGCAGAACATTGCTACTCCATATGTGACACTACTCGTACTCATCAAAGGCCGGTCCACAATAGCAAAAAACGGGTGAGTGACTAAATTCAACCATCACCTACTGGGCTGGTTTCATCATCAACAAAGCTTTGGCCTTTTTATGTTGTCCAAGTCTGCTCAAACTTCAGTGGGTAGTTGGCAGTTCCCATATTCTGTTAACATAAAAAGCGAATTCAAGAGTTATGTTTGGAACAAGGAGATAAAGAAGGGATATAAATTGAAGGCATGAATAGATATTAGAAGGATCGAGTGAAAGTGCAGGAGTGCTTGAGCACTCATGCTTCTAGAAACCATTTTATAGAAGTTAGGGGAGACCCAATTTTGAAAACTGATTCTAATTCTATTTTTACTTTTAAAAAAGAAGCAAAAGCAAAATAATTCTAAACAGCCCCTAAATAAACATGTGAACCGAATTCAATTGCAAAATGTTTATGAAAAATACTCCCTCAGTTTTGAAAAGATGTTGCCACTTATGTCCCGAAATCAATTTCCCATTCTATAAACAAGAATTTAAGAAAATTGACACAACTAAACTTACTTCTTGACTAGTTTCTGGTCCCATTTGATAGGTACGTTTTTATTTGTTTCTTGTCATCCTAAAAGGCTAACCTCAATCAGATTAAGTAAGATCACATCCATAGCTAAAGTGTGTTTGGACCTACTTTTTATTAAAAGTGTTTCTCCTTTTCAAGTGAAGTGTTTTTGTGAAAACGTGCATATACTTGAATTTAAGAGGGGATAAAATTGAATCTAATTCTACTTTGAGTAAAATCTAAAAAGGAAACATGATAGGAATCAAGTACAAATGATCCTTGAGTAATGAGGGAATAAGAATAAGAGTAAGGGAACAAAATACTCTATACACTTTTCATCGTCCGTTCCAGAATTAAGGTGTCACTCATAAATAGACAAGACACTACAAGCTTTTTGTTGTGAAATGAAGAAGATGATGAACAGATTTAAGAGATAGATATATAGATAAAAACTCCTAAATTACTTCTTCTTAATATCTTTCTTCTTAATATCTAAAATTTCTGAGTTTCTAAACTTTTCTAAGTATCTGTACAAGTGATTGATCAAGCCCTATTTATACTAGTTGGGCTTGGTCATGAATCATCAAGGAGTAATTCTACACATCTTGTTGGCATCATTAAAACTTGCCATCTATCTATCTATGATTACAAGGATGGTAAGAAGCTTAGTGTCCTGATTACATTACAAGGATGATGACAAGGATGAACAATTCACACTTGTCATTTCCTGGGTTTTACAACACTTTTCACTTTTTAAATTTGAACTTGACTCAAAATTTTATTTACTTTCGTAAAAAAGTAAAGCGTAGTTTGCTACGGAGTAGTTAATTTCATTAAATAGTTTACTGAGCAGTGAGGAGTTTAACGGGTTTGGATATGATTTTTAAAACTGTTTCTGCTCATTCAGGGAACAGAAGCAGAAGTTAGAGTGTTTAGGTGAAAGTGCAGAAGTGATTCTGGTGCTCAAATTTACACCTAGAATCAGTTTTTTTGGAAACTGAGGTTGACCAGCTTCTGAAAACTGATTCTGATTCTGCTTTAGAAAAGAAGCAGATACAAAATCAGTTCCAAACACACCTAAAATAAGTTTTAATTTTGAAATTAGTGAATATGAAAATTATGGAGAAAAGGTGAATAACAAGTAAAATAACCCCAAAATTATTACGGAAAGGATGACACCCCATCTCTGTGGGTCCTCCAAAACCGACTTGACAGCACGATGGAAGAGTGTAAATTGGACTATAATCACCATGTGATAGATAGAGATTGAGGCTCCAGCCCTGCTACTTGCAGAGGTCATATGTCGAGTAATCCTTCATTACAGTTGCAGGATTCGAATCCAGAACCTAACACACGTGGCACTCACTAATTACCCTACTCCCATCGGTCCAAAATTATTACGGATTATTAAAACTTTTGCCAAAACTATGCCCACTAATTTTCTTTTCCAAGCACAGTCTATGAGTCCATCAATCACGTGCAGTCCAATGAATGACAACTTTGCGAGCTTTGTGGGCCACAGACAACTTAATAATGGGAATAACGGGTATCGAATAAGGCGCATATTAGCTCCACGATGCTGGATGCTAACTTACGCACCATAAATTCTGGTCAAACAGCGGACGTTTTTACGATAAACAAGGGAGAGAGAGAGAGAAGAACAGCGCTTACTAGGTTGCTGTGTGACGACGTGGGCGGCCCCACCGAAATAGCACGTGCCTCCAGCACGCCCCTTCTTCTGATAGTAACTGTTGAACGCGAACGAAGCGTGGGCCACAACCGTGTCAGGATGATAACACGTGGATCCCGGCTGGATCGAACGGCAGTCAGCCCCGCCCTCACCGCAAGCGAAGTCTAGAGCCGCCTGTAGCCTATCTTTCCCGGCCTCCGCGTCCGCCACGCACCACGTCTGCCCCGACCCCCGTCTTGAAATCCAGTGGCTTCCGGTCACCGGCGGCCGGACCTCCCGGTGGGTTTTCAGGCCTTCCGCCGTGAAAGGGATGTCGTAGACTTTTCTCCCGTCTGGGTAGAAAAGCCCGAAGTTCCTCTCCGACGAGGGGCCGAACTTCTTGTTCTCGTTGAATAGGGCGAAGAGGAAAACGGTGAGCTTTTCTTTCGGCCGGAGTGGGGTCCCACCGCCGGTGAGGATTCTCCGGACAAGGTTTCCGTTGTACGCTGCGGCGTTGTCCACGCTGGCGCCGAGCTCGGTGGGGTCCCCTTTCGACGGCCACCCAGTCTCCGACACGACCAGTTTGATGTCGTCGAATTTTAAAGCTGACATGGCGGCGAAGACGGCGTCGATCTGGGCGTCGAACAGGTTGAAGTACCGGAGGCCGTTTCCGGCGTCCACGACGCCGGGATTCTCCCGGAAGAGCGCGTAGTCGAGCGGGATGACGTCGGAGTTTGACTCGTAGGCAAAGAACGGGTAGCAGTTGACCATCAAGTACGACCCGGTTTGCCGGAGGAACTGCAACATGGGTTTCAAAACGGGTCCGACAAATTCCGGCCGGAAAGACCCGGCGGAGGAAGGGTACGAATTCTGCAGCGCGCTGAGCGCGATGGGGGAGGAGACCTTGACATCTCCGTGGAGATTGAACTTGACCAGAGCTTCATGGATGTTTTTCATGGCGGGCAGGAGAAACCGGGTCGTGTTTTGCGGGTCGACGAAGACCTCGTTCCCGACGGCAATGGCTTCGAACCAGGTAGCAGGGTGGTAGGCGGCGATATTCCGCTGGACCCAGTTGTAGGCGAACGCCTCCCGTTTGGCGGCATTGTAGAGCTGCTCGTTAGGGAGGTTGACGGTGACTCTGATGCCGGATCTGGACAATGCCCGGAGCACAGACGGGTCGGAGTCGTAGATCTTGACCCGATTTAGTCCCTGAGACTTGAGAAGCTGCACGACCTTGACAGCTGAGGGCAGATTGTTGGCGATCCGGCCGTAGTTAACTCCAATAGCGCCATTTTCTGCAAAAGAGGGGCAGGAAATGAAAGCGAAGAGAATGAGGAATAGAGGGAGAAAGGTGAAGCGCTCCATTCTCCGGATAGACAGAAACAGAGCAAGTTGCAGATTTGTGACAGTAGAAGAAGGGAGTGAGTGAATAAAATAAAGAGAGAATGGTTCAAATACGGCTAAATAGGGTGCAAATGGGGGAATATAACTTTTCCGTATGCTAAAAGGAAGGATTAAAAGTATGCTAGGTAGGGTACAAAAAAAATTAGTCGGGTGCTTTGTAAATAATCCCAACTTGAATGGCGATAATCAGGACAGTGGGACTTGGTGTACACACTTTTACACATGTCTTGTAAGTTTTTTTGTCTGTACGAACAAAACGTATTTTGACAAAATATTTTTTGTATGTACAGACAATAAATAGCCTACAGACATGTGTAAAAGTGTGTATACCAAAAAAGTGTGTAACAAAAAGTATTTTGTAATCAGAAGCTCTATACCCTCTTTTCTTCGAGACTATTAGTGGCTGAATCGGTCTGATTGCCTCTCAAAGTCCTCCACCTGGTCGTCGCTACCAACAACCCTTGGTGCATTCTTCTCTTTCCGTGGATATCTTCCGCTCCCCTTATTGTCGCCTGACTAATTTGGATCGTTGAAGCAACAAAGATGCGAAGCTAGAGAAACACGAAAGTAGCAGGGAACAACTACTGATCGTTTATCACCAACCTAATTGAATCGGTGCAGCACACCTGAAGCTAGAGAAACACGAAAGTAGCAGGGAACAACTACTGATCGTTTATCACCAGCCTAATTGAATCGGTGCAGCACACCTGAAGCGAGAACCAGCGCCTTCCCCCTTCCCAATTGAATCGACGCAGCCCCTGATGCGAAAAACCTTCACCTACTTCAAGCAGTATGAATTCGTACTTGAGAACTAGAACACACGTCGCTGGACGAAGCATTGTGCCGCCGTTCTCCAACCTAACCCTAGACAAAGCTAGGTCGTCCGCTCTGGCGTAACAGTGTTATTGAGTAACTCATTTACGAGGCTGTTTGGAACCACTGTTTTCGGCTTATCAGCCAACTTTTTCACCAAACACTTATTTTTTGCTTTCGCGTGCTGAATTGTGTGATAAGCAGAAAAAGTAAGGTCGGAGTTACTTTTCTGGCTGTTTTGGCTGAAGTTATTGTAGATTATCATTTTAGCTATTTTTACATATATATTTTTCTTTATTTTATTAATAAAATATTTTTTAAAAATATTTTTTTCTTAAATCAGTAGAATCAGTCAATGCAGCCACTTCAGCCAGAACATCATAAATTTCAGCAGAATCAGCCGATTTTCGTGCTACCAAACGGGCTCTACAAGTTTACAACCTTTCTAATGAGGGATGTATTATTGTTTGCTTTTGTTTTTAAAAAATAATTTTTTAGTGTTTTTTGAGAAAGTGATTAATAATAAAAATTGGTAGTGTTTTATACTACTAATAAAAGTGTTTGTAGTGAAAAAACTGAAGTTGGAATGTTTGATAAAAAATGTGATTTATTAGGAGTAGATAGTAAAAGTACAATATTACCCTACAATAATTATATACTCCAGACTTTTAGTACTGTGTAAAATAATTTTCAATGTTCATTTCGTAAGTATGTATGTTCATTTGATATTGATGTAATACTCATTTTGTAAGTTTGATGCTCATTTCAAAAGTATCATATTTCATTAGATTCGCATATTGAAATTCATAAAAGTTGAGTATAGATATAATTTAATAAGTTCTTAATTATAAAAAAAAGAAAGAAAAAATGAATTAGAAGATATGAAGCAAGATCACAATGCTCATTGTTAGACCACTAACATCAAACTTCAATGTCTTATAAGATTAAGACACAATATTCAAGATACGTGATCATCCAAATCATTCCAATACCTAATGTAAATATCAAATACTGAGAAAAAATAAATGAATATTTAAATAACCTACTTAAGGCTTATAAAGGCATTCCTTGAACAGTCATAAATGCCATTATCTTCTCCATGTTTGAAGCTTGCGCAGCTAATTGATTTCTCAAATCAAGCAGCTCCTTTTCAGTATATTCCACTTTAGCGTTAAGCCTGACAACTTGTGATTCTGACACGTGTGATACTTAGATTCGAAATATCATTGAAATGGAGGGAAAAGATGAATAGTTAAGCACCATTGAATAGGATTGTGGAAAATCATGGGTTGGATTTCTCTATGCCCACTAACATGCAGACGATGGTGGCAATGTTTAATCAATTCGGTCTCCTACTCATGCCACCGAAATCTAAAGCCCTTCCACTAAACATCCACAGCGAGAAGCTTTTGGCCTCTGTTTTGCAGGAACCCGAAGTTGAGCTAAAATCACTTCTGGAAAACTTGAAACATGTGTTCTTGGACAAGAATAAAACACTACCAGTGATTATTTCCAATGCATTGACCCAAGAACAAGAAGATAGGTTGATAGCAGTGTTAAAGGAGTACAAGTGGACCATTGGATGGTTTATTACCGACACCAAAGGCATGAGTTCATCCACATGCATGCACCAAATTCGATTGGAGGAAGAGGACAAACCATCGTGGTTGTCTCACCAGTTTGTTTAAGTTGTTCAAACCCCCGTGCCTGCCACTAGATCTGCTTCCACTATGGATCAAGCACTTGTTTCCCAGGTGCACACCGTTTCTTCTCATATTTGTGCGTAATTTGGACCGATATGGCTTCTCTTTCATACAAGGCTCATTGTGGCTATAAATGGGCAAAGCGGTCTGCATGTCCCAGAATCCCACATAAGAAACACAAAAAAAAAAATCCATAAATAAGACAAAGACAAAGATTAAATTCATTAATATGACAATCTTGGTTTTAATCCCAAAATATAACTTATCCACTCATATTTTGGGAAGTTTTATCAACTTATTCTTTTAATAGGACTAAATAAGTCATACTTGTACAATAAAACAAATTAGTCCTTTGTTTTTAACTTTGTGTATGTTTTAATCCTATATTGAGCAATTTCTAAAACAAAAATTTGGTAGCCTTTCATAAAATCCGCCCATATCCGGTTGTCCTCTTCGTGTCAAACTCTCAATCTCTTAGTCAGGGCATTGTTTATATACTCGTCACTCTTATACGCATATATGGCCTCCATTTCCCTCAAGAGTGCGCTCATCGATTTGGACAAAGGTCCCTATGCTATTTGCAATTCCTCGAGCTCCTTTAGTCGTCATGTACCCTAAAGGAAGATTGTGATCTGGAACCCAAAATTTTGCATGCTCTAAGGACACCTCAAGCGGTCTATCGGTTCGCTCTTACATCTTTATGATCACTAAGTTTTGTTCAAAAGACTAAGGTCACTCCTCGACAACGCGGCTAATGTCCCCCTCAAGGTAAAAGTGAGGCAGAAACTTCAAAGGAGACCCCCTAACCAGTTCACATGGATAACAAAGAAGTTCCAATGGGGTGAAGACCAGCAAGGTGTTACTGACATATTAAGAACAAGTCATACACAAAGACAAGGTACTAATGTGGTGTGACTAACCCAAATATTAGGATCTATGATGTGAGGATGAAGAAAAGGGGAGTTGATGAGTTCCCATTTTGTGTGCATTTGGTAAGCTGGGAGCAGGAGAATGTCTTGAGTGAGGCCCTTGAAGCTGCCTGAATTAATTGTTTGCAACAAGTACATGACCAAGTTTGCAGGAAAGGATGCCTTCCACCTTAGGGTTAGGGTTCACCCTTTCCATGTTCGTCATATTAATAAGATGTTGACGTGTGATGGGGCACTGATAGGCTCTAAACGGGAATGAGGGGAGAGTTTTGAAAGCCGCAAAGTGTATGTGCATGTGTTGCCATTGGACGGGCTCCTCTACCGGTTCGATGCAAGGATTCCAACAGTCAAAATGTACAGGATGCTTTACGTCATTGTAACACTTGAGATTTAATATAAACAGATTAATACTGCTACTCATACCAACAGAGGTGCGTCTCCTTTTAAGGGAGCTCATCACCTAAGAACTCCAAAGTTAAGCGTGCTTGGTTGCCAAAAGATCATTGTTAGCATAAAATGGTGTTTCACAAAGTTCAATAATACTGATTATCTGAATTACAAGAAAGAAGACCACATTGAGTCTGATGGTGTCAATGCTAAGCTTTTGGGATGTCACGGACCTCTTGCAAAGCGCCCACATGGAAAAGCATTTATTGATGCAGCAGATTAAACATTCTGCTTTTGTTTTACAAGACTCTTGCGTACAGTCTATCATGTAGCACATTACGATTTTATTTTATTTGAGCAAATATATCAGGACATCACTTTATTAAAAAACAACTTAGCATCATATTTTCTCAAATTCTTGTGTTGATGGACCTAATTTAACATACAGTAGCGCATGGTAACTTTTCCATACGAAAATTATAAATACAAACTACAACACACCAAATTCAGTTATTCTGGTTTGGATTGCCTTTTAACAAAGGCAATGACAAAACTGGTTGGGAGGTGTTTTCCCTATGATCTTGCATATGCCTCCTTTCTTGCACTTGCTCTGTAAGCAGAGGTTATTACATGTATCATCATCACCACTACCAGGAACACATGATCCAATGTGATTATCAGTGCAGCAATTAACATCGATCTTCTCTGCTTGGATAAAACCTAATCAAGAAACTGGACTTGTAAACCAACAATATATACTAATTAAATTTGAGAAAAAACGTACCCTTTGGATTGCATATTAAAAAGGCACGGTTTACATATTTTTAGTTAGATGGCGCCAGCAAAGCTTACTACTACTACTGCTGCTGCTGCCACTACTACTATTACTACTACTAAAACAGATCTAAGGTTACAAAAGCATACTAGACTAGACTTCGATAGTTATAAAATACACATAGATCGGACATCTATCAGACAAGTTTAGATCAAATTTAAACAGACCAAAAAACTTCAGTTCAAGTAAAAACATCCTAAATCTAAGGTTATACATAGTACGTAGTCTTAATTTATACATACTTTGCGTACATCGGGTATTCCATTTATCACCTGAAAACTTTTATATCATAATTTTTACACCATTAACTTTTACTTAACTTCACACTACGTCCTTTTACGGAATTCACAGCATATCACCTTGTAAAGAACACACATACTACTTGTCTACTTTTTGG